ACGGTCCATATTACCAGGTTGCTGCTCTCCGTCTTATACCGTACATAACTTATCAATGCCAAAACACAATGACACTGGTACTGTAAGCAAGTTTATGAACTGCTGATAGAAACAAACACATAGCGAAATTTCTGTAGTCCAACTGCTCCTTCTGAATGTCGAATTTTCGAACATTTCATACTATTTCTCGTGTGGTAGTTGAGAACAACACCTAACGAACGCTCATCTGTTCATTCTCTTTCTTCCAATATCTCAAGATTGAAGAATGTGGAAAGCTGCGAATAACCTATGGTCAAAACATTGATAGTTGTCTAGATGAGTATAAAATTTTGCTGTTTAGAACCTTATCGGTTTGTTGCAGAGAATTCTCACAAAAATTCATGTTAGTCAACAGTAGTTGCAAGGTATGGCCGCATTTCAAATTTCTGGAAACTTGTGGGAAAGAGTAGCATGAGGCAACAATGGGCTTTGTAGCATTTGAAGCACGGTGATGGGGAATCATCGCTTTTTTCCTGGCTTGTTTTCTACAGCCAATATCTCCTGTTCAATGCCCTCCATAAGGGAAAATGTTGTACAATTTGCAACTGATTTACTTTCTCCGTTCTCGAAACAAATCACATTCAACTGCAGAAGCATTGGCGCCGTCGCAGCAATTTGATGCTGCTCAACACCTTTCCACACCATTCGTAGCAAGTGATGCAGAACAGTGTAACAGCAAAGTGATGTTGCACAACGACTGCAGAAGGCTGGTTGGTGTAGAATGGTGGTGCTGAGCAGCACCATTTGGTCTTCAACATCATTTCACACTCTTCGTAGCAGGGAATGCAGAACACTGTAGCAGCAAAGTGGTGTTGCACAACAACCGCAAAAGGCTGGTTGGTGTGGAATGGTGGTGCTGAGCAGCACCAAATTGTGCTGCTCAACACCTTTCCACACCATTCGTAGCAAGTGATGCAGAACACTGTAACAGCAAAGTGGTGTTGCACAACGACTGCAGAAGGCAGGTTGGTGTAGAACGGTGGTGCTGAGCAGCGCCACTTGGTCTTCAACATCATTTCACACTCTTCGTAGCAGGGAATGCAGAACACTGTAGCAGCAAAGTGGTGTTGCACAACAACTGCAGAAGGCTGGTTGGTGTGGAGTGGTGTTAAGCAGCACCAAATGGTGCTGCTCAGCACCATTCCACACGATTCTTGAAGCGCTCAAAAATACAGCAGCAGCAAACGGCTGTTTCTAAATGGTTAAGCACAGAAGGGGTATAAAAAAGTGTTTCTAAACATGTTTGCAGCTTACGCATCAGCTGCAATAGCTTTCTATGTATATTTGATTAATTTCAAAACCTATTGGTCTACCTCTCCGTCTCGTACCCTCCCCCCCCCCCTCCGCCTAACTTCGCCCCCCCCCCCCTCACTCCGCTTTTAGCACTCTCCACGCCGGCGTTCTAGTCATGGCTGAAACTGGCCTGAAAAATCAGCACATGGTGTAGTGATGAGCAGGGTTCATTGCGTAATTCCACTAGTTGATAGCCACTTTCGAACAACTTAGTGTCCACAAACTCCGTGACAGCTGCTCTTCTAATCCTATGAAAAAGCTCTGAGTACGCCAAAGTTGTTGATTACAGCACTTTTTCCATAGTTGTTTTGGAAGATTCTTTTTCATTTCAGGAACTGAGCACTTTGCCCTTTCGAAACGAAATCCTTTGGAAAAACTTTGTTTTGAGTTTAAGTCAACTTGATATACAAAGAGCCGAAAAGGTAGTTACTGGGGAAAAGGTATCATAATTAGTCAATAAATTGTGCTTAACAAATTTGAGAATTATGTGCAGAGGCTGTGTATGTGATAATGCGCAAAAATCTGCACTTGTATTTCTAGAACGCATACCATTTACTTTCTCTTCGAAGTCCATAGTCTTTGTCTGTGGTAATCTTGTGATCCTCCCAACTCTTTTACCATATTTTAGGGCGCGCATCATTTCACAGCAGGGGTGCACAAGGCCACTGCAGCGTCAAGATTGAGCAATTCCCATACACAATCGTTTTTTGCAATGTTTGGATGCTGCAAAAATGTCTCATTTCTGCCTTGCAGCCTGCGGTATTTGATGTTTTTGTGCTCACATACTAAAGCAGAAACAAGGGCGAATAGCTTAGAATCAGAGGAACACTGTTCTGTCACCAGTATGAGCGTTTGATGTGCACCTTTTTTACTAAGCCCATCGTTCTCACCAATTTTTTGACGGTTGCTTTCTCTCAACCCAGTGGGTTCCTGGGAAACTAAACAGGATGCCAGGATCTTAGTCGACTTTGCCTCGCAGTGCATTTTTTAGAACGACGTGTCAATGAACTCCATTTGCTCATTGAACCAAAGCTCTTTATGAAATATTCTTGACAAGCATTCTGGAGTTTGCAACATATGCCTATACATCAAATACCGGTTGCAATTCCTCAAATCATATCTAAAAACAATATAATTCTTCTACTTATTGGGCTTCTATCAGTTTATTCTTGAGAATTTCTTCGCTTTGCTTATGGCATTGATTGATTGCGGGTGAACTTCCATAACAGAGAAGTCTTGGAAGATATTGCATAACATTTCATTAGTTATCAATCAAACTCCTATGATACAGTATAAGCAATTACTGCATTGTAAGAGTGCTTACTCATTCATCATATGGTCAAGCCTTACAAATGATCGCGACTTCTCTCCCTCCTCAATCCAGAACGCAGTATTTTCCACATCCTCACAGAGTCTCCAGAAGAACAAAAATTGGACTAGGAGAGCTCAGATTTTCCAATAGCATTGAACTGAACACCAGCCTTATTTTTTCTTTTTGCTCGGAGTATGAGGAACATAAATTCTGAAAGTATTTTTATCCTCTAGTTTTTTCGCTCCCCACCTTCTCTAAGCTTTTCTCTCTTAAGGAAGTTATCTGACTTATCTGCAATAACAATTGAGAATTTACAAGCGTACCGCTCTTAGTTTTTCCACCAGATAAATTTTTGAGGTAATTATTCTCTATATCATCGCTGATAATGTTTTGTTTGGCGTGAAGAATATTTTTTTTCAAATCTAGAACTTCTTAGATATTTCAAGGAAGGCGATTACAAATGCATGCGATTTTTCTTTGTGGTGTTTGAACTTATATAATATTCGATAGTTCTGAGTTGCGATTTCCTCTTGCATTCCTACATACATCGGGTTAATGGGTAAGAAATGCTTCCTATTTGCAATCACAATTTATTATATGACCAACACATAATTTGTAGCCTTTCTAGCAACTTGTATCACAAATGAAGTAAACCAAAGTTTCACGTCATCCCGTTAACTCAATCGCTTCCAAACGTAGATAGTTTGAAGGTACTGCACTGACGTAGAAAGTTGTCAAGTTTCCATCGTATCCAAAGATCTAATGATTTAGCATTTGTCTGACACCATATGACTTGAACAGAATATCCTGCTCACGGATCATAAACTTATCACACACGTCAGCTAGAGTTGATATTTGTGAAGGCAGAATTTGGATTCAAGTTTTCTGTTTTCCAATATGCTTTCAATGACAAAAATCTAATATTTTCGCTTTGTCAACTAGGAAGATGTTGTCTGATTCTCTCATGCTGTGACAAGAATCTTCGCTCAGTCTCGAAACTCTATCTTCCTACAGCTGGCTCTGAGCAAGCGTTTTTGAATGAAAACCCGTGTAAGTACCAAATTGTCGTTGAAACACTACATAGTCCATTGCAAAGCCAGTCCTTTGAATTTATAGTTCCTTTCTTGAAATTCGCGCATTTTATCACGATATTTCCACATTTTGTTACTTCTCATTTTAATTGTTTTCTATAGGTTTTTTTAACTTGAAGTGGGAAATCGCCCTCTCTTCTCTTAGAAAAGCTCGTGATAGTCGAAATGATCAGCTGTCACAGAGGAAAAACTCCAATTCTGTGGCAAAAATTAGAGAAAGAATAGCCTTCCCAGAACCACCCCCTTTTACTACACCGTGTACTGCACGTCATGTAACCGTCCTTCAGTGACCAGAATTTCATTTATGAGACGCTTCGAACAACAACAAGGACGACATCGTCTACGGAACGACGATGATTAGGCCATTTTTCTGCCAGCGATATCATTGTGCAATATCTTGTTCTTTCAGCATGTAGTGTTTTTCACTTTCATTTCGTTTTCTAACGTTGCTGCAGGTCGGGAAATGTGCCAAATTTTTTGATATCTCTTATATTTGAATGACTCAAGAAGAATGAAGACAGCTGCTGCTATCTTTTTGACCAAGTCAAGTGCAGGCTTCAAAGCGCCAAAAATAGTGAATCCGTCTGAAAAATGGTAATATCGACGGCGGACGTGAGAAATCGCGAATGAGAGGGATTTTTGACTGATTTCTTGTCCTTAGTGGTGACTGATGACAAGGCCGTAGTAAAGAAAACCTGAAGAATGAATTTATTTGCAGCCGTCTGCAGGTTTCCGAATTGACCTTTTATTTTGTTAGCTCTAGTAGCATAGATTTCAATAAACTGGCTTTTCTAATCCACATGTTCATTGTGTACTCACCTGAACAGAAAACTTTTGAATTCACGGGTCAAAAAACTGTCCCAGAGGGCTTTTTTTCATTGCAACCTATAACTGCGTTTACTACACGTGGAATTTTGCTTGGGATTTACATCTGTGCGCTATTTTATATAAGTCAGAATGTTTCCAATGTCTAGAATGCTAAGAGTACTAAACACATGAGAAGCCATGCCATCGATCATGGGTTTGGTTCATAAAAAAGATTCAAACAGCCAATCTTGTGACTGTTGCCAGAATTTCCCGTAAATAGAAGCCGTCTTATAAGATGCTGACGTTCTGCTTTGCTTCTATTGCTCTTTATCCTCTTCTCACTTCTGAAATTTTCTTCTCATTTACTTCTTGCGTTTACTGCTCATTCCGTGATTTATTCTTATCGTGCAATATTCTAATCATCAACCGAATGGTTTGACGTTTACCTTAACCCTTTCATCGATTACAATCTTTCAGATGACAGACGTTGTTGCTCATTGTCTGACAGACCGTCAGATGTTGTTAGCTATAAACAATGTTGAACGGATATTCATCGGCACTATTGTCCCAGTGTTGATCATTTTTGGTATTAGCGGCAATATTCTGAACTTGACTGTACTACTAACTCCTACGATGAGAACGAGGTGAGCTATATGGTTCGTCGAGGGGGGTAGACGGCTTAATGGAGCATACAGTTATTTTCATAAGTTCTTTGGATGAAAATAATCAAAATACATTCGACTCAGACGATCAACTTTGCATGGACCTTCACAACGACAAATGCTCAGCTAGCTTTGTCTGAAATTCTAACAAAACAAATTAATTAGACTTTCAATAGCTATAGACTGATAAGCCTCTGTCACTCACGCTCCCATCCGGCAGGTTATAGAGTCACTCCAATCAAGTCAAAAAATACTAATGTCTTTGATCATTTTGAATCGTCAGCTAACTATTGAGATGATCTAAAAATGCGATTTTTTGGAATACCACGGTAGAGACAACTTCATCTCGTTATTTCACTCTTTTCTGATACTCTTATCACATTCTTTTTCATCCTTATCAAGACTGTAAACCAACCATGCAGGTGGCGAAAAACTCCCATTTACAATTTACGTTGTGATTATTTGTGGTAAAATTTGCCATGATTTCAAGAATGTGCACGTACATAATCTTATCTGCTCGCGCTGACTAGGATTACGGTAGTGTGTCCATAGATAGAAATCAGTAAGCAGCTACGGCTTTTTTTTTGTGCTGACAAGTTTCCTGGACTCTTTGCTATTTCACATTATCTGCACATCATTTCCGTATATGCACATTACGTAAATTGATCCAGGCGAAACAAGCTTAAGTGTGCTCCACGCTCGGACTAATGAGCAAACCGCATTTTTGACAATATCGTCTGACTATGCTAATGGGCCGGTGTCTTTCAGGTAGACGATAGCTTGGATCCTAGAGCTGATTAGCATTGAAAAATTCTGCAGACCATAAGGGTCAAAATGAAGATCTAAAATAGAGTAAGCTTAAATCTAATTTTCAGATCGAACGTACTGCTATCATGTCTGGCCGTTGCTGACATCGTCTTCCTTGTATTCATGATTCCACATGCATTAGCTCACTACAGATTTTTTTCATTCAATTATTGGTTTCGGCGATTATACCTCGGGTACAAGATGCAGATTTTGTACATTTCGAATTGGGCATCAGCAGCTGCTATTTGGTAAGTTTCCGTAATTTCAAGAGCTTGACGGTTGTTTTTGTTCAATAACAATTGTCTCCAACGAAACTATTGGGATTGTGCTGGAAGGACCTCAGCATGCGCATGTAGTGGATAACTTCAAAGAATGATTTTGGCGATTGCAGATTTTGTGAATGCTTTAATAATATACTTTCAGCAAGTCGAAGACTGCCATCTCCAAACAATGTCTAGTTTTTTATCAAGCTATCCTAAAGGCAAATTCAAGCGGTCAATACCAACCAGGCTTTCACCGAAATTCGTTCTGCCGACAACTTTGGAAGCGTTCCGAAAAGCTTGTGAAAACGCATAATCTCCTCTTTTATAAGCTCATCAAATACAAGGTGGCTTATCCTGCTCCCGACCCTGTCAAACACTATGATAAAGGTTCCATCCCTATATCCGTACAACCTTTCCCTGTGCTCACTTTCACATGTGCCAATTATCCCCGTTACATTAGTAATCAGCATGCTCATTTACCTCCCTGTGCTAATTTTCAATCTCGCTGCTCAAACTTTACAAAAAAAATCGATAAAATGGATAAAAGTAATGAATAGTTTGGAAAACTATTGATGTATTTGTAATCAGCATGCTCGATTTTCTCCCTGCGCCAACTCTCAGCCCCTAGTCCAAACTTTGCAAAAATTCGATAAAATTGACATCGATCGATAACGAAAAGTGGCCTATGACACTTGCCCCGCTCCGAAGTGTATGTGTGCCAAGTTTGGCCCGGATAGGTTGAGAGATGGAAGTTTCTATTTGAGAACGTATGTACAGACAGACACACAAATACATAGATACGCAGACACACAGATACACATACAAGCAGACATTCAGCTTCATATATATGATTCTAATCCGTCATTCTGGGAAAAATTACAACGGAGAAAAACCAAAAAAGCTTTTGAAGGGACCTGGTCCTTTTGCAGTAATTTAGACAATGGCCCGTAGTAAAGCTCGATCAGTTAAGATGATGAATTTACCCATCAGTTGAGTTACGTCAGGTGAAATGATGACCGCCCACCTTCCCATGCATAAACATGGCAAGTGAACTGACAGTTGGCCATCCGTCTACCTGCTGCTGTCAACTGTTGCACATCAGTTCACGTTCAGTTAAGCTGAACGTGAACTGTTGTTAGACGAATGCAAATAGTGTGAAAAAGAGGAGACCCCCATAAGTTGCTCCTGAGTAACTTACGATACACATCAGTCTGCCTAACACTGCAAACAAAATCGGCGCAAGACTGTACAATAACGGGGCCCAAAAAAGAGAGAGTCGATGAACAGCTGATTTTGGCGTAGAAAGAAAAAAACAGATTTTTTGTGTAAAGTTTGCTGACTTTTTTTGAAAAGCTGCTCAGGATAAGAATTTGATATTTTAATTCATTGAGTTCACGTTGCAACCATTTCATGAAAAGTTTTTTTTTCATGAAAATTTTGTCAAAAATGTGTTTTTGTTTTATCAATGCATGTGCTAGGCGAAATCCTTGATAGCGGTCATCATCGATTTTGCGATAGTGGTAGCTATCAAAGACGCCAGGCGATACAGCAAAAGTGCGACACTAGCTGGTGTTGAACCATGGCCTCGCAGGTTCAATTCCAGTCACTTACCTGTTCGACCAAACCGGCTTAAGCGGTTCCCTTTTCAAGAACACACATGATTATCATGATTAGAAATCATGCAATCCGCATCCGGATCAATAGCTCACTGAATGCTCGACTGAGGCATCTTACATTCAGCGTAGGCCAGAACCACTCGAGTTGCAGTGATGGGGGGTTTACTACGGACCAATGTCCTACGCACCATTGGTACTTCAATCAGCAGTTTCTTTGCAGGCTTATTCTGGTGATTTGCTTGGAGCGCTTAATGGGCATCATGTACCCACTCTCAGCAAGAAGACATAAGAAGTCCACAAGAACGGCTGTCATTGTCACCATTATCGTTGTCACTACTGGATTGCTCACTTCTTACAATCACTTCAGCTATTTTTGCGCTACTAAGCACTTCTGCAACGGCACGCAATTTCACGCAATGTGTAAACGAGGTGACGCAGAAATGTACGTTGAGCGGTACGATGTGCTATCTTTAATTCATTTTTTACTGCCGCCCTCGATTTCGTCGGAGGACAGCTGACTGATGTTTTCTTAGAGAAATCGTTTGATGAGCTATCTAGCGCTTTTTTACGACCTAGAGTGGATGCTTTGGCGAAGAAAATTGAAAAACTAAGATGAGATTGGTTTTCAGATGGTTCCGCAATCAAACGAACCCAAATTCGGATTTTGTTAAAGCGATTGCTCATTATGGTGCACATGTCAATGCTGTCTGCGTTGTTGTGATTCCCATCCTCCTAGTTGCTATCTCAAATGCCATGCTTATCTATACGATTAGGCAAAGGTTGGATTTTTTTGCATTAGTTAAATTTGCTAAATTCATCGCTCATTTATATCAAGGCAAAAGCAGTTTACCATGCAAAGTTCGATTAAATCCGATTCGCAGCTATCAGGATCACAGTCAAAAACGGAACACAAGGTGACAATAACAGTCTGCGCCATCGTTACATGCTTCACAATAACTCAAGTGAGAACCATAAGCCTGCCCAAGAACTCCAAACTCGTATTTCTGCTCTACAGGGCCCTTCCGCTTTCACCACCGTGTTAGCAGAGTACTACCCCACTCAGCATCAATCCATTATAGCAGTGGTGAGTCAAACATACAAAAATTGTTAATTCCCAAAAATGCTCGTTATACTGAACAATGCCGTTGTCCCAATTCTAAATAGCAGATTATTGATACAAAATCACACAACAATATCAATGTCGCAAATGCAAGCCAATTTTTGCGCTGCAGGTTTAAGATAATTGTCCATCGTAACGGGCCGTTAGTGCACAAAAGTACATGCTCACTCTGCCTTTTCTACAGTCGAGTAGGTTTTCCGCTCAACATATGTGCTTGCACTGAAGGTGAAATGCGACAAAATTTGCACGTGAACAAGTAGCCACGCCAGTAATGCCAGCCTTTTGCGCGCGAAATTGGCCGGCGTTACGAGCGCAGCTATTTGTTCAGGGGCAGATTTTACGGCATTTCATCTTCAGTGCAAACACCATATTAAGCGGAAAATCTACTCGACCGTACATTGTAAAAACTGTCTCAAAAGCACTTGCAAATATCTTTATTGTGAACAATATAATTTCAGACTGCTGTTGTCACGACCATGGTAGTACTCGGAAAAGCGCTCAACTTCGTCTTGTTCTGCCTTTCGTCTGCTAATTTCCGCGCAAGACTGTTACAGCAGACACGCCAAGGATTGCTGAAGAAGGCCTCAAGGTAGGTCTATAGGTGTTTTCTCAAACCTCTGCCCAATCAACTCAGATGCTTTACTAAAGCCTGCTTATGCCACAATTCCTCCGTCTGCTGGCTTTGCTCTGTTAGCATAATAATTATATCATTATCCTTCAGCTGTTTCTAACATATAAAATGGCCAAATTAGGACTACTCTTGATTCAACTGGATTGGCGACTGAACGGCGGGCGACCTTACTAAGGCTAGGTAGTGATCAAAGAGCAGGCGCGCGGGAGAGTCGCAGACTTCGTCGAACGACCTTAATTAGGTCACAAAGCCCCACCTTCCAGCCGCCAAGCCAATTGAATTAAAGGTTAAGCGGCAAGAAATACTAACATCCGTTGTGCTCGATCTACTGAAAAATTCCTTGACCCTTTCCTTACTTTCAGAAATCTTTGAGATTGAGTCTATTAGTACCTTCTTGACTACCGAACACAACACAGATTTTCCACTGCCACTAATATAGTATTCCACTGGATTTTTTGTTTCATTATGCAACCAATATTTTTCCATCACCACTCGCTTGCATTGGGTAATTGCTAAACCCTCGAAATTAAAGAGAAATACCTTACTACTAACACTAGCTCTATATTTCTAAATTGCCCACTGATTTTTGTTCGTTGATCGTCCGATACGTTAACGTTCTGGAATATGATTGTTGTAGTGGATTGCACGCAGGAATGCTAACATTTGCGTAGATTTCCTTGTTTTCAATGTTGTATATGAATATTGAGTTAAGACAATTTTAGAAGTCAATCGATAGGAGTTCAGCTTTCCATAGGGAGCAAGAAATGCGAAAAGGTCATCTTGATACAGACGACACGATGAGCACAACGGTAAATCCACCTAAACAGAGTGCTGTAGAGCTGCGTTCGGAGCACCGCATGCATGCTTCATTTTTTCTTGCATGTTTTGCAGCACGTGTGTGGCACTATGAATGCACAGCATACTTCGATAGTGGCATTGTACCAGTGCACCATGACCCCGCATTGCTACTTAATGCTTATCTTTCCTACTGCGCTATAGGCTTGACAATTATGGACGAAATTTTTAGAGAAGTGCACAAGGCAAAAATTTGTTTTAGTTAGATACTATGTAAGTGTATATGAAAACAGCATGATTTTCTGCACATCTGCAACGAACTTCTGCTCACGCAACGCATTGGGGCATTAAAGGGGCTTTCCGTGGTTTGAGGCCATCGTCCGTGACTTGCGGCATAGTCCGAAAGATGCTGCAGAGGTGCAAGGAACTACGTCGACACAGTATGAATCAAAGAGAAACGAAGACTCGTTAAAATTTCCTGTTTCACAAAAACAAGCTATTCATTCCGCATACGATAAGATGAACGAAGAAACTGTTTACTGGGGGTTCAGCAAGTGTAGCCACGCATACTCATAAACAGTTCAAGAAAGCGTACGCAGCGTACGCACACTTGCTCAAAAATATGAGGTGTATGCAGTGCGTGCGGCTGTGTACGCCGCGCAGTCTCGCTCAACCCAAAGATGATTAACACATTAACGACCAAGGCGTTTCACGGATCAGTCAACATTTTTTAAATAAAATCACGCACAATTCCATCTACAGTACACCTACAGTAACGCTGGAATGCTAACAAAAACCGTAGGGGTTGTGTTTAGACCCAGTACAAAAGAAAACTCCCGGAGTGGATTTAACACAAAATAGCAGCCATTTAAACGCCTTGACACACCATGTGTGTCAAGCGGTCGTCAATGTGTTAAATACAAGCAACTTGACGAGTGAAACTTTTTCGTCACGGTGAATAGCAAAGTAGTGGTTGAACACATGCACACCCTCAAATGGCTAACCCCTTTTGCGCAACAAAGGGGTTGGTCTTTTTGGAAATGTTGCGCAGTCAGCAGAAGTGAGATGGGAGCAACAAGCTTTGCAAGATGTAGTGTTCGACTATTTATCAGTGGCGGTCCGAGAAATTTTTTTCGGGGGGGGGGGGGGGGGCGACAAAATTTTTTTTTCTAAAGAAGGTGCGTGGCGTTAGCCACGCACTCGCGTCTCAGACCACAACCACACACCTGCCATGCTTAGTCTTACAATCATCATACATTACTTAGAGCCATGGCCTTTGCACCAGCAATGGGTAATGATTTAGGGTAGAAAAATACAAAATAGTCAAAGGAGCTGCATGCTGTTAGGGCAAGGGGTTCCGCGTGTTTTTTACAGTTTGAAAAAACCCCCTGAGTGAAAATTTCGATAAGAAAATATCATATTCCAAAAATACAACATGTGTCCTAATGCATTTTCCCAAGGCAAAACGTTCTAGGCATTATCATAACTGGCTGAATAAAGGTGTTTCCGTGCATTTACACAAGATCATATAATCATGTTCCTTTTGTAAAGCATTCTAAACACATTTTTTGCATGATAAAGCGGCACTTCTCTCATTTCATATGGCATTGAACCGTAAACTCTATCCTATTAACCGACACATATGAAGATTTTTCGATATATCAAGATTAATTTCAGGAGAATGTCTACAGCAACGCGTTCGACAACACTCGAAAGCGTTTCCATCAAGCTTCTTCCTAAGTCCACCCGAGTTTTCAAGGGTCGCAGTGCCAGTCAAAGTATGAACGAACGAGTGGCCATGCGAGAGTTCAAAAGAGGAAGAAGCGTTGTCTAAATGTAATCAAGGAAGTTTGTGCGGAACTTTTTAGCAGTTAAGCTTCTGGTTCATATTTTCAAGTGGAGATATTGCGGTTACGATCTTCAACTGCTATAAATGTATGCCTGTAGAGTTTCGCACCGCAATCTAATTTGTAAATTTTCTGTTTAGAGAAAGTTTGAGTTCAACTACATCCTTTCTATATGGTCAAATTTACTTCGCTGTGTATCTGTATATATCGTAGCAGAGTATGTACTGAAAGTGTTACTTGTAGATCTGCTTATGAGCTGAGATCTCATATTTTTGACGGGTTTCTGATTTGATCTAAAATAAAAATGTCAATTTATCGCATATCAAACATTTGAAATTCTTGGTAGTTATCTCGTGTTTCAAGCATACAGATCATGTAGCATTGATCAATAGCCCAAGAACTTGAACATAGTTTACGAAGAAGATGCTCGTCAGAGGGCGTTACATAATTTGCAAGAGACATCCACGATTAAATCATGACAGGCTAAGGATTGTTTACATCTGTTTGTCTATCTGGCTAAGGGTTGTTTACATTTGTTTGTCTGTCTATCCGCATGTCTGCTGTCACGAAACTGAAAAAGCGAGTTGCAGGCAAGCTTTTGAGCTAGAATTTAGATCATAGCAACCTATCAGCATGTAGATTAGTTGTACAAAAAAGAAAATCCGATAAGTAGAACCTATGAAAACTGTGTGTTAAACGCAACCACGCAAGTTGTGGCCCAGCAAGGGGATAGTTATAGTTGGACTTTCTGCGAAGTTGTGTGTTTAGAGATTTTTTTCTTCTCAAAGTTATCGAAGTTATCATGCACGGAAGAGCTTGAGTAATTTTTATTCGTGATGGCCAGCATTGCGCGCTAATCCAAAGTTTCATCATCAAGCGAGCAAGGGGAGGCGCTTGTGTAGAATATCAGGTTAAACTAAAAGTTTGTAGCATCATATTCAAAACATCGTAGCTTTTTTCTTTTGCGACATTCCTGCATGATCAAAATTTTACTGAAAAGTACAAATCATGCATTTTCTGGAGGCACCTCGGCTGCATCTACTAGGTTTTGAATGCAGAGATAAAATTGGGATAAAAGTCACTTCAAATTTGGAGTTTTGAAGCAAGCCCATTGAAAAATTCAGAACTGTGCCATGAAATCCAAAACAGGCAGTATCCTAAACTTCTGATCCCATCTTTCCAGCTAAGCAAAATCTGCGCTAATTGTGCTGTTCTTCAAAAGTTATGATTGTTGAGAAGAAATGTTCTAACATCAAATTTTTGAGAAAATGGTTTTTTGGCACTTTTTCTAGAAAATCATAACTTTTTAAGAAGTGCTCGATTGGCACGAATTCTGCTCAGCAAGAAAGAGGGGATCAAAAAGCCTGAGTCAGTGACTGTTTTGGATTTCGCGGCACAGTCTTGGAATTTTTGACGAGCTTGCCTCAAAGTTCCGAAATTGAAGTGATTTCGTTTTCCCAATTTCATCTCTGCATTCAAAACAAAATAAATGCAGCCGAGGTGTCTCTGGAAAGTGCTTGATTTGTATTTTTCAGTAGTTTGATTATGCAGAAACGTCTTGATAGAAAGAAGTTACGGTTTTTTGAAAAAGGTGCAAAAGAACTTTCGCTTCAACCATCCAAGCTAAATGAGTATTCATTTTACACGGAACAATTATTGCTCTTGTGATTATACGAAAGACAAAAGACAGCTGATTGACTACGAAATTAGTTGAAAGCATGGCTCGGCACAAATCTAAGCCATTTTTTGAAGCAAAGTCCTCTTTGATTCGCTTAAAATTCAGATTTGTTGTAATCTATTCACAGCTCCTCTGTCAGTGTTCGGCAGAGGTGGCGCTTTTCGCATGCTGGATATCGTTTTCGGGGAAAAGCAAGAGGAAAATCATGGATTTCTTAGATTTTAGATTTTTTTTAGATTTCTTTCTCCTTTCTGGATTTCCGATCTGATAGGATAGCAAGCAAATCTTACACGTGGTAAGTCCGAATTAGAGGCTCTTATTCAACCACAACAGGTCAACTAACATGTTACAAACACGATCAGTACGCCAACTTGTGTTCCCATGATTCCTAACGTGTTAAAACATGATCTTTATTCACAAAAAGATAAGCAATCATTTTGTTTACTACGACTAAGCAATATTAGGCCATCAAATTTGGTGTATAGCTTTGCGACGATGAGGAAAAGATGAGGAAGAATTATGAAAAAATTTTATGTATGAAAGAAGTTGTAAGTGTTTTTCTATTTTAGGTTGCTCCTGCGCAACTGCTCAGACAATCGCCGGGGGCAGCGGGCGCCGGAAAATACGCGTTGATGAAATTTCGCATTTCGCTCGCAAATTCCAGGAAAATGGTTATCGGGTTCTGAGAGACCGCCAGTTGAATTTTTTTTTCGCTCTTATCTTTTGCAAATATATTGCTGAATCTCTGATGAATCGAGAGCTCAGCAAGCGGTCTTCCGAGAAGTCTTGATTGCTTTCCAAAAAATCCGCGAGCGGGGCGCGAGAAATCAGCCATCTATTTTTCCGGTGCCCGAAGACCACTTGCTGAGTTCTCGATTCCTCAGAGATTCAGCAATATTAGGTTGTCCCGAAAGTTTTGTTTGTTTTTTCAAATCATTATAAAACCACGCACAATGAAGACCTGAAAGAGCTTCAATATGCATTCGATGCAGCTTTTCCTTCTCTTTCTTAGGGTTATATTTTCGAACCAAAGTCCTGTATGGTTTTTCTGATAATTGCTAAAATTTTTCACCCGTCATTTTTATCTGCTCAAAGTTCAATTAATTTTTAAAAATTTCATTCCATGGTTTCGGAAAGGCTTAAGTTTAAATCAAATAGAGCAACTCTTGGACTACAAGGAGATATTTTTATGTTTTCCTAATCTGTTGTTTTTAGCCTAGAGAAATTATTTCTTCGAAGGTCTTGATTTTTGGCAAAATTTTGGAAGAAGCAACTGCAGCAAAAACATGAAAACTCTCAAAGTTTTCGCGACTTGAAACTTGTTTTTTATTAAACAATATTTATGCAACATAACCAAGTTTGATTTGCTTCAAAAATCTGCTTTTTGGAATTTCCGGTATTCTTACATGGTAAACATAATCAAAAAGCCGCTGTTTTTCTTGAATAAATAATTATAACGGACCTGATAAACGTAGTTTAATTAATCTGAAATAGATGTGTTGTAGCCAAAGGTTTGCTCTACTCAACAGTCACCAGCGCTCTTCGAGAAAATCAGTATATAGATTTTTAAAAATTAGGAAAGGTTTGGCGTTACTGCCGATGTGCTCAAAAAGCCATGGCGATAATATCGCAAAGACAGGGTAGATCAAGGACCAAATATAGCTGTAAGAAAGAGCACGAAAATATGAATCAAAAGATTCTTAGGCTGTCCGTGGATTAGTGTTCTGGGAGTTTTAGTGGGCGATGAAAAAAACCGACAAAACTTTCGGGACAACCTAATATATCTGCAAAAGATAAGAGCGAAAAAAAATTCAACAGGCGTTCTCTCAAGAATCCGCTGACTCAGCAAGCGGTCTTCCGAAAACTCCTGATTGCTTTGCAAAAAATCCGCGAGCGGGGTGCGAGAAATCAGCAATTTATTTTTCCGGTGCCCGCCTGCCCCCAGCGATTGTCTGAGAGGCTGCGCGAGACCAAACAAAGTCATGATTTACCCACTTCCCCACATAATTTTTCTATAATTTTTGTATACATCTATTATACAGGGTGTCCGTAAAGTATGTATACACTGTTTGATCGTTGATATCTCTTTTCCCAAGAAGTTTTTTGCTTAGCTTTAACCACCATTTTGTAGAGCTGGCTTCAACTTAGATTTACAGCATCTCAGATAACCGCCGGGGGCAGGCGGCCATGCGAATTTTGAGCAAGCGCGCACCGGAAAAATAGTTCGTTGATTTTTTGCGGCCCGCTTGCAGAAATTTGGAAGAAAGTTGGCGAAATCAAAGACGAATGCTTGAAGAACAATCGCGGTTTCTTTATGGATTAGCTGCGGCGCAGTGGCCGCATTCTCGCGGACTTTCCGCGAAAATATGCAAAAATTTCGAGGGCCGCACGGTCCTTTGTGGAGGACCGCGCAACCCCCAGGTACTTTCCGCTGAGAGAAAGTACCTCAAACTTGAGTAATTAAACCAACGGTGACACCTCTTCCACACAGAGTCTTACCTGCACTCGACGTACGCCCGAAAATGCCTTAAAAGAGTCCGAGCGCTTGCTGAAAGTTTGGCCAGCGCTCGCTGAAAGAAATTATTTGCCGAGCGCTTGCAAAAAATGCTGTATTGCTGCCCTCTGGCAGAATATGCGACCGTAAAGGAAGTGCCGCCCGCTGAAGGTTTGCCACGCCCCAAAATTCTGCTGACCGCCTGCAGAAAGGCGCGAGTTTGCGGACCGCCTGCCCCCGGCGATTATCTGAGATGGAGCAAGTCACGGATCATTCTTCACTACTGTAAGATTACGGTAGGAACTTCCAGTCATAGCGTCATTACGGATTTACCGTGTTTCAAAAAAAGTTTCCAAAAAATCTGAAATGTGGTGTACTAGGGTTTTCAAGCTCGCTGATTTTATCATGCAGCTTTTCACGAGTTTTCAAAGCTTTTAATGATGTAATCACGGTTTTGTGGAGTCTTGTAAAAATAGACATTGCGGTTTACCTGCCATAACTTATGAAGGAAGCACTGCGGTAAAGTGCAAATATCATATCTGGTTTCAGCGGCCCCAAATGCCCTAATCTAAAAGTTTTCTGGTTATTTGCTTTGCTTTTTGAGGCGAAATGGAGTTCTTGATGGCTCACAACCCTTCATGAGTTTTCTACCGTAATTTTACAGTAATAAAGAGCGACCGATGATTCGCTCCATACTGTAAATCTAAGTTGAAGCCAGCTCTACAAAATGGTGGTTAAAGCTAAGCAAAAGATTTCTTGGAGAAAGAGACATTAACGATCAAACAGTGTATACATACTTTACGGACACCCTGTATTCTTCAATTTGAGCTCTGAGTGCTTACTTTAGCGCAAGTTTCGGCCCCTCTGCTTTACTACTGCACTTGGCGATATGAAAAACTTCTTCTTTTCGCATTCTGTTGTTTTATCCCTAATTTTCTGAATCGGTAGTAAACCCATCGAAACGCGCAGCCCAAACTCAGAATTAACTCTGAGTTAACGCGCACGTTTCAGGGGACCATTA